TGTGGTAAATAGGTGAAGAGAGAGAAACACTGGGCTTGCTGGATAAGGTGTCAGTTGGTCAGAAACTGGTATAGAAAATATGTGATGAGCCCTACTAGATCCACTGTGCAGACTGTAATAGCAAAAAGGAGTCATAGGAGTGTGCTATTCATAGGTGATAGGTTTGCCAGTGATATTATGCTGTTTGGCTGTCATGATTTTCACCTCTACATCACAACCTGCTGATGCTTACCAATTTTGACCAAAGCCTGACTTCACAAGGATGACAATGCTATGATGACACCATAACTATGTCTTACTCATCAACATACAATAGACAGCTGAAAACAATGTGACAACAGTCACTGTCTCATCCTCTTATCATAATAAGAACTATAGCACACAGAAAACTCACCATAACAATGGCACAGCAGGGTGACTGACAAACAAAAGCAAGGGCACAGTCATTGTCATCTAAACAATAAGTAGAAAGCATGGAAACCAGACAATAGTCACCTGTAGAGCAAAGGGCTCTTCAGACAGTATTTAATGCAGTAGAATATACCAATGTACTCCAGTCTTGAGCTAAGGTTTAATACACCTACTACACTCTCTGACTACCTGGTGTGAATATTCTTGCTATCGCAGTGGACTATCTCTATCAGCCTCACTCTCTTATACCTCTAACACACATCATCATCACTTATCTCATTATTTTCATTATACTTTTATATCAACAACAAATCCAAAACCAGAACCCAGAATCAGACTCTGGTGGTAGCAGTGCCAAGCATTTGTGAGTATTTGATAGAGGCATAACATTGGCAGAACATTGGGGTAAGAAAAGTCTCAAGCTAATTATTAGTGATGAACTTAAAATGACTTCAAACTGATGACAAAGGGCAGTCTCACATTTCAACAATCATTTAGAAGTCCTGGTCTTGAGTTGAAGTGGGTTATCTAAGCATGTAGCTGAGAAGAGAAGAGTATAAAGCTTTATTGTTTGATGTAGAAACTTTAGCTCAAGACTGAGGTCTCAGACCATACAAGGTACTACTTAAATACTACTGTTCTATATTAAACTACAATAGAGAGTGTGTGTTTATCATTTGGTGATGGTCTGTCCTTTCTTCTAGAGACTCATCATAATAGTCTGATGTCTGCTGACATGTGTGCTACATATTTACATATGTAGGGCTCATCACATATTTTCTATACCAGTTTCTGACCAACTGACACCTTATCCAGCAAGCCCAGTGTTTCTCTCTCTTCACCTATTTACCACAACACTACATCTTCTCTTATGACCACATGTGAACTCTCTGAACTCTGACCCTATCTGAAAACCAGTCCAATGAGGAGGAGGACTGATGCTCCAGCCTCCACCTCTATGCCAAAGAAGTGTTAGACCCAAGCGTCATGTGGACAGATACACGTGATAAACAGGTGTTTCTTCACACTTCGAGGAATCACCTGAGTCCACTTAATATGTACCCATGCAGTGTGATACAAGGTCAGATGTTGACTCGAGGTAGAATGGTATGTATAAACTTTAGCTCGAAGCTGGGGTTTCTAGCAAGAGCTCTACCCTTTAAATACTGTACTGTCGTTCCTAATTATATCGCTACCTATTATATGTGTCTGTGTCCATGGTGCCCATTGTCCTTGAGCATCGTTACCATACATAAAAGGGCGATTGTATGTCTTTGTTCTTTAGTTGTCGAGTGGCAGGTTATTGTGGCTAAGCCCTCCCACGGTCTTGTGCCTTCTGACTAAGCATAAATAGGGGAAATAAGGGAAGAAAAAAGGAAAAATCGTAACATTACCCTCCGCTTAAGACCATCGTCCCGATGGCTTAATTAAGGGATAATTCATAGTCATGAATCGCAGTGTCGGCGTCCATGTATTTCTCGTTAATCCATTGGTTGGATTCTGGTCCATAACCCTTCCAGCTTACGAGGTAATCGACGGTAGTTGTTAAGCTGCCCCCTCGTGTCTTTACTTTCCGCAGTTTGTGATGTAGTATTTGGTCGATTTCGTAGTGTTCCTCATCATCGATTAGGTCTGGGGGAGGTGGTGGCAGACGTTCCTGGTTGGGGAAGGAGAGGGCAATATAAGGGGAGAGAAGGGATTCATTGAATACATTATGAATTTTCCATGCCACGGGCAGTCGGAGTTTATAGGCGGCTTCCCTGATCTTCATGAGAATTGGGAAGGGACCTGTGCGTTTGTCTGAGAGTTTGCGTTTTGGACGTGGGAGGTGTAGGTTTGTTGTGTCAAGCCATACTTTGTCGTTGACTTGGTAGTTGTGTGCTGAGTGTCAGCGTTTGTCATATTGCGCCTTCATTGTTGACACTGTTTTTTCGAGTGCTTTTTTCGTTTCTGTGTGAATTTTTTCCATGGTAGCGGCGAAGTTTGTGGATGCTGGTGTTGTCATTTTGTGATGAGTTGTCTGCGCAACATGAGGGTGTCTGCTGTAGTTGACAAAGAATGGAGTTTTGCCTGTCGCGGAGTGAACTCTGTTGTTGTGTTGGAAAGTGATGAGTGCTAGCCATTCAATCCAATCGTCTTGTCAGTAGTTGATAAATAATCGCAGGTATTTTTCAACTTCCTGATTTGCTCATTCCATTTGACCATCCGTTTGTGGGTGGTATGCTGTGGACGCATTGCATGTGATGTGCAACAATTTATACAGGTCATCAAGGAACTTTGAGACGAATTGGGGACCGCGGTCCGAAATGATTACTTGCAGCAT